TGTTGTGGTAGCAATGCCCCGCATGGCCAGCAGATAACCACCGGAAGACCCGCCCCGAGATTCGAGTTTTTGCTGGTGGTTTGATCGAGAGATTGGCTTCTTCAAACGACGCCGATGGCATGTTGCTGGCCGTTTTCGAATGATCTGCGGAGGATCTCTATCTGAACCAGGGGAAGAGGGTAATGATCATGACATGGCACAACCACGACGACATTACGGTCCACTCGGTGTTGGTCAGTGCCGGCATCAGCCCCTCCCCGAAAACATAACCCCGGACTCCGGGCCGGCCATTTGCCAAGCATCGGGCGGGGTACAAGAGCCAGAGCTCCGGCCCGAGCTTTTGCCCCCGTCTTCCGGACCCGCCATCCCGTCTTGATCAACACTGAACTTGCATAATGGCAAGTTCTCAGCTCTCTTCAAGGCAGCTGCTTTTTGCGGGGAGATCTGCGGGGTCTAATGCAAACTGTCAAGAGCTTTGATGACAGCGGGTATGCACAGTTTTGAGGCAATCTTCAGCATGCCCTATAGCTACTATGTCAGTGGCGTAATAGCTTGCCCTAGTGGGATGGAGAAAAGATACTGAAGATTCGTATACCTATACGGGCTGGCTTTTAGCAGTAGGGCATGGAAGGCTATCTGATCCATAGCTGTGAAAGGCAAACACAGGGCAAACTCAGACAGGAAGCGAGTGGAACGTGGGCCATAGTCCACCCTCAAGCAGAGCTTCTCTTCCGAGCTTCTTCAAGTCAGAGTGTCCGAAACCAGATGGTACTGGATCTCCTGTATATAGATAGATAAGAACCTACTCCGTATTTTCAATTGGTGGCAAGTGGCTTGAGCAGTCCAGGAGAGTTTAAAGTGCTGTGGTGAAGTAAGTGGATGAATGAAGCAAGGCAAGTTCCGTGGGCCACACAGTGTGGGGGCAGGCGGCCCGACCTTACGCAAATCAATTTTCTGCGTGTGTTCAAGAATCCATCGACCTGATTCCCAAAGTTTCGCGACTGCCGCAGCCGCTCCTCAACAAGCAACACCAGGTCACCCTTCCCACTCTGCTGAAGCTCCACCTCGAGAATTCAAACCAGCCATCTTCTGTCTTCTCATCGACCGTCCCGTCGACTCAATCATCCATCGACCTTTGACGTCTTTGCCATCCATCAACCCCCTCCATTTCTTCTTTGCCAGCCCTTCCCCTCTCCGATCCCGATCCGCGTCCTGGTGCACTTTTGCAAACGCAGCAGACGTCCAGCTCCGTTGCCAACCCAGCTCTGATCTCGGAGCCGGCTTCTTGAAGAGTGCGTGTGCTCCATCCTCCGATCTTGCTCTCTTCCATCCAGATGCCCCTCCCTGCCCCTCGATGCGTCTTTTTTTCTCCACTTTCCGCTGACCTCACCATTTCCAGAGATATCCTCACTTCTCTCCGGCGCCACACAAAGCCTAGTCACCTCGTCCGACTCTGCCCCACGCCCGCGCCGTGATTTTCCATCTACCCCGTCGTCATCACTTCTGTTTTCTTTAATCATCACACACAAAACCAACAGCAATCATGTCGACAAACGGTAATGCTAATCACCACGAGCAATACGCTGCCACCGGCCCAACCACCTCAGAGTCGACTCCCCAGATCGAGAACTCGCAGAGCGACCTCCCCAAGGATGAGATCGGCTGGTACTTTGTTGAGCAATACTACACAACCCTGAGCAAGAACCCCGACAAGCTTCACGTAAGTCTGTCGATATCTATGCCGTTGCAATGGCTTGGTGGCTAACGAGCAATGTAGCTTTTCTACGGCAAGAAGTCTCAGTTCGTGGCCGGTGCCGAGGCTGAGGTCACCACTGTCTGCGTCAACAGACCTGTAAGACTTTCCTTCCGAATTGGGTTTGTGCGTGTGTATCGAACTTCTCGAAGCTAATTGTCTGCCAAGAACATCCAAGAGCGCATCAAGCAGCTTGACTTTGAGGATTCCAAAGTCCGCATCTCCAATGTCGACTCCCAAGGGTCTTCCGACAACATTCTCATCCAGGTCATTGGCGAGATCTCCAGCAAGGGTGCCGAGCCCCGCAAGTTCGTCCAGTCTTTCGTCCTTGCCAAGCAGCCCTCCGGTTACTTCGTCCTGAACGACATTCTGAGATATATCGTCGATGAGCCTGTGGAGGAGACTGATGCTGCCGCTGATGTGCCAGTAGAGGCCCCTGCTGCCACCGAGGCCGCCCCAGCCGTCGAGGCCGAGCCCACTACGGAGGCTGAGGTTCCCGCCGAGGAGCCTGTCGCAGAGGAGAAGGAGCCGGTTGAGTTGGACACCGCCGCTGTCTCTCAGAAGCTCGAGGAGGCCACTGAGGAGGCCCCCGCTCCTGCTGCCGCCGAGGCTCCTGCCCCCGAGCCCGTCGTCGAGGCCCAAGAGCCGGTTGTTGAAGAGAAGATCGAGGCCCAGCCCACCCCTGAGAAGGTTGTCGAGGAAGTCGCCGAGGAGGAGGCTGCGAAGCCCGAGGAGCCCAAGGATCCCGCGCCAACCCCCGCTGCTCCCGCCACTGCTGCTCCCGTTGCCGCCCCTGCCCCTGCGGAGCCTCCCAAGCCCAAGGAGCCCCCCAAGCCCATGACCTGGGCTAGTCGCCTTGCCGCTTCTGCTGCTGCTAAAGCGGCTCCCAAGCCTGTCATTCCCAAGGTTGCGACCCCTCCTGCTGCTGCTCAGGCTCGTGCCCCCGTTCCTGCTCAAGCCCCTACTACCGCTCCTCAATCAACTGAGGCCGCCCCTGCCGCCCCCAAGGACCAGGGTAGCGAGTGGCAAACCGCTGAGACCAAGCGCCAGAGCCGCGCTCAGCCTACCGCTGCTGCTGCCCAACCCGAGAAGGAGGGAACCCTCGCCTACATCAAGTTTGTTACTGACAAGGTGAAGGAGGCTGATCTCAAGGCTACCCTGGAGGCTTTTGGTGAGGTGGTGTACTTTGACATCAACCGGACCAAGGTAAGCAACATCTCTCAAGGGGAGTGCCAATAAATCAAACTAACCTAGTTTTACAGAACTGTGCTTTCGTCGAGTTCAAGACCCCCGCCGGCTACACTGCTGCTGCCGCCGCTAACCCCCACACCGTGAACGGCGAGAATATCGTCGTTGAGCCCCGCCGCCCCAAGTCGACCGCCTATGGCGGGGCCGGCTATCCCCCTCGTGGCGGTGCCACCGGTGGTCGTGGTAGCCGTGGCGGGTACGAGTCCCAGCGCTCTGGCAGCCAAGGCGGTGGCCGTGGTGGCTTCACCGGACAGGGCCGCGGCGGTCGCGGTGGTGCCCCTCGCGGGCGCGGTGCTTCTCAGGCTACCGCTTAGGGAGCGATTCCTGCTTAGCGGTGGAATTACTAGCTGATCGAAGACGCATATATTGTCAACGATCTCCAGAAGTCTCAAGGTGAGCTGTTGGCAAAAGCAGTGCTGGCATTCATCTTTACACGCCATATGACGGAGTTGAGGAGGAGGGCGGGCATTCTACTTGGTGCGTCATGGAGTCACGGGGTTTGATTAGTTAGGAAAGGGCAAAATGGCTAAGAATCATGGTTTCTTTTTTCTTGATGGCAATCCGGCGGTGCAGTGTTGTGGAGTTGTGTGTTTTTTGCTGTTGTTATTCTTGTTCTCGTTGCTGGAATCTTGGGCCATGCATTATACTTGCATAGGCACTCTTTACCCCGACCACACCCCTTTGCACACACACATCACACACATAACAACAGGTTGTCATGGTTTTACGGCATCGTTACAGCGTTGGGGGAAGGGGGGGGGGGACGGAAAACGGTAGCATTGTATACCTCACCGGCGGGGGGCGGACTGACCTGGATGGAGCGAGGGGCTGGTGTGGGGGGGAAAAAGGCAAAAGACAAGGCATGAAATATTGACCTAGTGTATGGTATGGTATGACATGGTACGGAAAAGAAAAATGGAGGGAATAGGGGGTTGGAGGAGATCAAATGGATCATATTGCTTACGCGCTACTACAAGAACCTCGACAGATTACCATACATCACATTCTTCCTAATAATCAAAGGGGGCAACGGTTTGCCCTGTACAAGTAATTACGTTGGGGGGCAAAGGGGGGAAATCGAGGGGAGAGGAAGAGGGAAGAGGAAGGTATGAATTCCCATAAAGCGTAGTTGAGACAGTAGGTATTCATTGAGTATCGTTTCAGCTTTTGCTTGTGGGTATGGGGGGAAGTCTTAGGTACCTTTAGAGTAGGGAGGTTTATAAAAAAAAGGATGTGTAATGGTAAAACAAAGAGAAAGATTATTTTTTGCAAAAGAATGATTTTGAGTTGCTTGGTTGTTTTGTGAGTGTGAGTGAGTGAGTGTTTGCGGGAGGGGGGGGTTGGTTTGGTGTGTATGGAGGTAGGGAGGTTTGTATGGGGGAGGGGGGATGTAGATTGGATGGTTGAGATGGGGGAGGGGAGTAGATGGAGGGAGGGTCCTACGTCTCGGGAAGTTCTGCTTTTAGGGTCATGTATTGGGAGGAAGGGGCGAGGCAATTTTCGTTGGTGGTTCTGATTCTGATGGGTTTGGTGTTGTAGACATGTATCCCGGGTTGGGTCTGGCGGGTTACCTCAGGTCAGGATATACGATACGGAACAAATGATGGGGGTTGTTGGGGAGATGTAGATGTGATGGGTTAGCCAAGGTAAGGTAGTTGGGTGGCTTCGAGTCTCTTTCCGAATGCTGCCTTGCTTGAGTAAGGTAGGTATGTATGTATGATCTGGAGGGTAGGGGGTTGTGTAGAGACGGTTGTTATCAGAATGGAGCGAATATAGCTTTTGTCATCCATTTGTTATTTTTTTTTTTTGCTGTTTTTGTTAAATCCACCACGCTTATAACAGATACCACATTTCATCTTCATATGCCATTCTGATACTTGTATAGTTGGCAGCTGGTAGTTCATTGATGTTGTTGTTGTTGTTGTGGTGGTGGTGGTGATGGTGGTGCTGGGCAAAAAAAAAAAAAGCAAACGCTGAAAGAACAAACAAACGCTGTGTGTGGACGGGCCAGGAGTCGAACCTGGGTCTTCGCTCATAACTCGGGAATGCAATAACCGCTATACTACCGCGCCCACACACGAAACGCTGATTTGGGACTCGAAATTATATACTAGGCGTTAGGTTGAGGGCTTTGGTTGGGGTTGGTGGCTTTTGGCTTTGGTTGGGGTTGGTGGCTTTTGGTTTTGGCAGCTGGTGCGTGGGTGGAGGTGGCGTTCGTGTTGACGGACTTGGACGGAAGGTTAAAACGCCTCGTTTTTTTCCCGGTGGAATGAAAAGATAATGGCAGTCAATGGTAGTAAAGTGTTGGGATAGCTTCGTGTTGGATGGCAGCCTTGACTTTGGTGGAAGTGTTTGATATCTAGACGGGGATACATGGCATCAACATGGGAGCTTGTGCTGAAAGAACGGTTTTGCTTGGGCTACGGTGGTGTGATCCCCAAGTCAAGATAGGAGGTTTTCCCACATACTGATCAGGGTCTTTTTCAGATTCTGAACGGAAAGGTGAAGATATGGTAATGATAGTGGGATATGTTCCCGCCTGACTGGGCGAAGTGCCACGAGGACATTGCCTGTCAAAGTTCCAGAGATGTGATGGTGATGTGAAGCACGTCAGATCCCAAAGAGGCATGTATGACACTGATAGGTAGCTGTATCATGTACCAGAACCACATCTTTGCTGTGTTTGGTTGGGAGATATCTCCTAGGTACTTCCTTCTGTTCACAGAGTCATGTGTGTTTCAGTTCATGTAGGAAGACTTATTTGGCTATTTCAACGTCTATGAATGCTTCTGCTTCAATGCCTTGCGAAGATCTTAAAGTCCTAGTCATAGCCCCTCGACTGTTGTCGTCTCGCTGTCAGCCTCTATTTACACCTGACTAGATGTAGCCGAGTCACTTCGCGTTGACACACCTCTCACCTTTTCTACGGCTACCTCGGCATGGGTTTGACGAGGTACATATCTGTCAGTATATGTAAGCAGCCACTGATGCCCTGCTTGAATCCCAATAGTCCTATATCCCGCAGCACATGACGGTGATGGTGGTCTTAGTGGGTCAGGGTCCGATAACGCCCCGGATCCATACCAGGTAGTTGCCCATCCCACATGGGGAGGCCGGCACTTTTGGGGAGCAAACGGCGATGGCGTAAGTAGCACTAACCACTTGCTAGTCTCGCCCGTGATGTTTCCGAGGCTGTGGGGGAGGGGCTGGGCTAGTCCTGCAAAAGGAGCGGAATGTGGGAGTGTGGCCAACGTTTGGGCACAGATAGTATGTAGTCGGGCCTGCTGTCGGAAGAGCTTGTCGGGAAAGGGTTAGTTTGTCGAGACTTGGATGGGAGAGGGAGGTGTAAGATATCTAGGTGGGCGGTGTTATCTTTGCTCCGTCTTGTTTGTCTGTTGGACATAGGTCAACCTCGTGATACAGGTGATTCTAGATGTCTGGAGCTCAGATGAACCTTGATGGCTACCCTCTAGGGACTCTCCTGATCTGGTGTTGATCATCTCAGCAGGCAGGCTGGGGTTGGTTGGATCTGTGTTCGCTGCCGGTATCTCCGCCTGTGACATTCAGTCCAGACAGGCGCGCGGCCAAACCATGGTTCGTACAACGAGAAGCAAAACTAGGGTCTGTATCCGGTAGGTGAGTGGCCGTCAAGGTGTGACTCGAAACAGAATAAGGGATGTGTGTTTTTCCTGTCGAGCCTCAAAACAGCAAGCATCTCCGCTGACTAACTGGGCGTAGCCATGTAACCCCTGACCTGACACTGGCCGCCGGAGTGTTACACCACGCGGTGAGGTTGATGCTATTATAGCATGTTTTATGCCGTGTTCTTGCTCCGTTGTCGCTTGCAACCTAACGGATAGGGTCAACAAACATACGTAATACAATCCACACAAGAGGAGCTTCTCTAGGCTCGTATACAACAACAGTAAGCCGTCAATATCCTCTGGAACAAAATGAGTTTTCAACGGTCCAGATTTGCAAATCATGCAAAGGTGAGATCCGCCTTCCTGTCTGGTACAAAGGTCTCCAGACATGGACCCAGACTGGCGGAGCGATACTAATCGCCAATGCTTCGGGACTTGCAAGCAGCTAATAATGAATTCCCAAAAAAAGAAAAAGAAACGAAGGAGCGAGAGAGAGAGGGAGGGAGAGAAGAGGAGAGGAGACTCTCAAGGGCCCGGTCCAATCCCCCGACGAGCCGAATCATGGTTGTGTTTTGCTACTCCCACCTTCCCAAAAGGAACACCGCACACACTTGGATGAAAATTGAATGCAATGAATGGGCCCAGCGGAGGCCCACTCGGGCGGGTCCCCGCAACAGTCTGTCATTCACTTATTACACTACATACCTAGAAGACAAGACTTGGACAAGCTTCAACAGTTCGTTCAACTTGCGTGCTGCAGCGAGATGCAGACTGCCGGTGCCGAGAGGGGAGTCGGTAAAGTATGTCGGTATGGTGAGCAGACGGAAGGCCAGTCCCGGAATGGCTCTATCGAGATGGTGGTTGATTGATCGGCAGAGGGTGATGAGATGGCTTCAGCTTGCGACCTGCCAAGTTCAGCTCGCTCACTCATAAAGCCATTTCGTCCCGCGTGGAGACGACCAAAGTTCATGAGACAGCGGGAGGATTGCTTCACCTGCCTTCTGGAAGGCAAATATCCAGAGAGCATCAGTGCGGCACGGGGTGCTTGTCGTCGGGGAGAGCGATGGGCAAATAGGACGTATTGGGCGATTGGGTATCATGAGCCTGCGGCGTAGTTATACTAGATAGTAGAGAGAGGTACAGTATAGGGCTAATTCGTACTCAAGCCATTCTCGACGATCCCCGGCATCTGGCGCCCCCGGGAGCATGGCGTTTCCCCTCAACCACCTACCTGGAACAGTCTAGCCTAGCTGCGCGGAATGGCTGCGAACATCCCTGTCTCGCGTGGTGATTGGCAACGAAACCCCCGGTGCGCCCATCGGTCGACAGGGCATCTCTTAACAGATGATTCTGCTTGCGGGTTGGGGGTGGGGTAAGAATCAGGGTTGCAGATAGCCACAAGAGCCAAATGAAGTCGAGAGAGCACGGCAACCATCAGCCATCTCAGTGACCCAGTCGGGTAAAAAAGAGACGGGTCTCGGCGCTGCATCTCCATGATATGTACACCAAATATGTACTGTAGTGTATGTCGTGTCTGTCAAAAGTCCGTCCCAGGATCTTGAAAGGAGGAGCCACACAAGCGAGCCGGGTGGGTTTTTCAGCCCCTCCAGCGGTTGTGCCAAGGAGTCATATTGGGCACATCTTCCGCTTCCCGTCATCTTTGCCCGTTACCCTTTACTTCTTTCGCCTGTCTGCCTGTCTGTCTGTCTGTCTGTCTGTCTGTCTGTCTGCCAGTACCTTGCATTCCCTATTCCCTATTCCCTATTCTCCTACCTATTCCCTACCTTACTATTTCGCTATTGCCCTATTCATAGCGCCGCCTGTCTTTTCCATTCTTTCGCTCACTCACTTTTACATACCGATCTGCAGCAGACTAACACAAACGCCCATCACATCACATACACATACGCATACGCAGACACACCCACAGAACAGGTTCCCTTGCACCTCGGCTTGGGTGCTTCCCATATGCTAAGCTTTCCTGCCTTGGCGGTCTCTCCACCAATCCGATCCCTCTCAAAGTCAGACTCAGTGCATGGTAAACCCGCCAGCAAGTGTGCGTCGCTGGATTTCAAGTTCATCACCGGCCTCAAACTCTCGCCCGGGGGCTCAGCGTAGCAACCGGGCGCGCCCTTTAACACAGCCCGACCCGTCACCATGCCAGTGGGGAACGACCCAAGATATCTAACAACAAGGAGGGCGTCACCACCACTCGCGACACCAGTCTGGGTTAGGCAGAGTGGGGGAGGGGAGGATTCCGTCTTCATCGTTGGTCGCCTGTGAGGACGACAACGACAACGACGGCGACGACACCCGCTCCAGCATCACAGAAACTGTCACGTGTCCCATGGAGCAAAGGCCTGGCAATGCCTTCTCCCAGCACAGCGGCGACGCGAGCGAGGCGCCCCCTAATGGGGGGATGGGGCGCCCGCGCCGCATGTCCATGGAGGAGGATATGTTCTACCGGGAAGTCATGACGTCGCGGCCCAAGAACCCGCCAAGTTATGAGACGGCCATGCAGGCAGCCGTGGCGGCCGAGAGGAGAGCGATGGCGATGGCTGCTGTGGAGGATCAGGAGGAGAGGCTGCCGCAGTATTCATCAGAGTTGAATATCGAGGGCGTGTTTATGCGCAAGATGGAGATGGAAGACACGATCAAGCGGGCCGAGTATCGGGACTGGAGGATGGTCTATGTCGAGCTTCGGGGAACGGCACTCAACGTCTACTCGGTTAAGAAGGAGCGTGGATGGTGGTCGTCAAAACCGGATGCCCCCCATATTGCGCCTGATAATCCGCCATGGGTGAAGAAGCATACGTTGGAGCGGAGCTACAGTCTGCTCTATGCGGATGCAGGGATCGCGGCGGATTACAAGAAGTGGGTTCAACCCTGTTGCTTGACCGTGAGATGGGATGGCAGCTGACATGAAGAACAGGAAGCGATACGTCATCCGGCTACGAGTTGAGACGGACCAGTTTTTATTGTCGTGTTTTGAACTGAGCACATTCGTCACATGGCTCGACAGGCTCTATGCTGCCATTAATGTGGCCGCACCCATCGATGAGCGCGATTTTCCTAGGGATTACAGCATTCCACGGATCCAGAGGATACGATTCTTGCGCGGACAGCGACCGCCACCACAAGACCACCTTGGCAGGCAAGCCGACCAGCGACGACCTGATGAGAGTGATGAGGATGACAGTGAAGGGGAGGGGGAGGGCGGTGAACCACCAGATCACAGAGGTGGCGGCGGACGCGGACCACGACCAGCGGAGTACCCGATCACGGCGAGGTTATCGATATCGTCATACGCGAACGAGAACGTCGACCCAGAAACCGGAAAATGGGTGCCAGAACACGGCTGGACCATCGCCCACGACCAACTCTATGCCCGACTATGCTACGCCGTGTTGCTGTTCAAGTCCCCACGGA